CACAGGTGTCTAAGAAGGAAAGGCGGATAGGGTAGAATCGGTCACCTCACCTTATTATGCTGTGATCTAGTATATGCGAAGATCTAACATTGCACAGTGCCAAGACATTATCTGTCCTGGGTTCACCTTTATCCGTAAAGAGCAAATAACCAACATAACATAAACATAATTCAATATAGCTGCCGTAGCCCTGTGGTTAGTGCACTGCATTCTCTTCTCTCCTCTTTCCCCTCCTCTTCCCTTCTCTCGCTCTCCCTTTCTGCCACTCCCGCCCTCTCTTTCTTTCTCCCCTTTCTTTCATTCTCCCCTCTTTCCCCTATAGTTTTATTCTCTCCTCTCTTATCTACCCTCGATTTTCTAGCCTTTGTCTTACGTTTTTTTCCCAAATACCCTATGTCCCTTTACACGATTTGGTCTTTTCGTCATGTTGTCCGTCTCTCTCTCACTCTCACCCTCTCTCTCTCCATCCATCCATCCATCCATCCATCCATCCATCCATCCATCCATCCATCAATTAATCTAATCTATCTATCTATCTATCTTTTTATCTATCTATCTATCTATCTATCTATCTATCTATCTATCTATCTATCTATCTATCTATCTATCTATCTATCTATCTATCTATCTATCTATCTATCTATCTATCTATCTATCTATCTATCTATCTATCTATCTATCTATCTATCTATCTATCTATCTATCTATCTATCTATCTATCTATCTATCTATCTATCTATCTATCTATCTATCTATCTATCTATCTATCTATCTATCTATCTATCTATCTATCTATCTATCTATCTATCTATCTATCTATCTATCTATCTATCTATCTATCTATCTATCTATCTATCTATCTATCTATCTATCTATCTATCTATCTATCTATCTATCTATCTATCTATCTATCTATCTATCTATCTATCTATCTATCTATCTATCTATCTATCTATCTATCTATCTATCTATCTATCTATCTCTATCTATCTATCTATCTATCTATCTATCTATCTATCTATCTATCTATATATCTATCTATCTATGTAACTATCTCTGGCTGCCAGCCTTTTCAGTATGTCCGAGCCATTCTCCCCCACCCTCTTTTTCCCTCCCCTATCTGCAACACTATTTCCGCTAAGCTGTAGGACGATGTAAGTATAAAATACAGCATCCTGACTAGCGTAGCCCAAAATGCAGAGCCTACATTTGATTACAGTGTACATACACTTCGTCATTATATCATCTGCTTGTGCACGCGGCCAAAACATCAAACACTCCCCAAGAGAACATGTGTAGGCCAGCCCGTGTTGGCACAGTCTCCGTGAAAGCATCATCAGCATGGCTCCTTGATCCAAACAGACCTCAAAATATGTCATCAATATTCTGCAAGGAGAATCGAGCCCGTTGTAATGACACCGACAATGACACTTTGGCATTTCCGTTCCCCATGCAAGAGTCTGGCTGCTATACACCGGGAGCTCCTCAATGGCAATGACAAATTACTTTAATGTAAAATTGCCTAATAAAACCAAAAGCACCCCCCACCACCCACCCCAAAAGCAGAAAATGGACCACAGAAATAACAGAGACACTGATAAGTTCTGTAAACGAATCGAGCAGAAAGACCGGTTCCAGAGATCTCTTCCTGCCCATTTGCCGTGAGACATTCTAGGAGTAGAGAAAAGAAGAGGAACACTGATGTAAGGGATACGCAGCTAGCTTACTTTCCTCGATTCTGCGCAGGCACTAGTTATGAATGTTTGTAGTTTATTAGTTATTGGTTGAGTCGTTCCTCGTCTACACACTGCAATTATGATACACAATCTCCTGTGGCTTCTGGAGCCCTATTGTTGGGAGGGGGGGGGCGAAAATAAACCTGCTGCCTCCACAACAAGCATGTCGTAGGAATAGACTAAGAGCCTTCTTCGCAGTCGGAGTGTATCTGCCCCAGTGGCAAAGAACAATCAACTGCACACTACACAGAAAAGCCAGTGTAAAATGTATGTACATGCAAAACTGAGGTCCTGGCGCAAAGCCAAAGTCCCGAACTACCATGAGAGCTTTCAGCCGGTGAACAAAGGAGGAGGAGGAGAAGGAAAAGAAAAAGAACGAGAGGAAGAAGACAAATAAGAAGAAGAATGCATCAACCATTCTTCATTTGAGATAATTAATCTAAATACTTTGGATTTGATGACCAATTTTTTGTGACATGTCAAATTTCAAAATAACCAATAAAAACATGCTTAAAAACACACACACACACACACACCGTGAAATAACTTATTAATTAATCCTCTCACTCGCTAAAGCTTTTAGAACATAAATACCTCATTTCGTTAAGTTCAGTTTTTCGAAACAGGTTCACACACATTCATTATCCTAGCAAACAAAATAATTAATTGTACAGTGTCTATGTCATTAACCACTTAATTGGCGAAATTTCTAAATGTAACCGATCCTGCCGCCACCTAAACGGTGATATGTCCGGAAGAGTTTAAAAATGTAGATTTTTGTACTTTAATGTATGTATGTATGTATGTATGTATGTATGTATGTATGTATGTATGTATGTATGTATGTATGTATGTATGTATGTATGTATGTATGTATGTATGTATGTATGTATGTATGTATGTATGTATGTATGTATGTATGTATGTATGTATGTATGTATGTATGTATGTATGTATGTATGTATGTATGTATGTATGTATGTATGTATGTATGTATATGCGTGAGTGTGTATAAACTATATGCATCTGTTAACACTACTAGTCTACTCCTATAGTGGTTAAAAACAGAAGGTCTTATGTGTGAGTTATATCCCACAACAATTTGGAGTTGCACAGCAAGGCTATTCAACTAGCCATTTGCAGGTCACAGCCATTTGTATTGTTTTAATGATCTTTCTTTGCTGGGGCTCAGGCCTCTGGCCTGTGATGACCCACATATAGACAAGTCTGACTACCAGAGTAAACTTACTTGAGTAGCCCTGTTGTAGAGAGAAGACTGCAAGGATTCAAACCTGGCATTTTGTCAGAATAGAAACCTTACTCCAGTGGTGGGTAGATCAAGTTACTTTTGGTGGTATCTGCCAGGAGCAGTAAACCATATACAAATGCATGCTGAAGTCAGACAAACTGATCTCTGAAGTGCATAAGCCAGACTGATAAAAACTCCTGCAAAAAAATGCGAAGAAGAAGAAGTGGATGAGGAGAAGGAAGAAGAAGAACCAGAATGAAACTAATGGAACTGCAGTACAGCATTATAATAGGAAAAAAAAGTGAAAGTTGAAAAACCTCTATAGAAATGGAATGAAAGTTAAATGAATTCGAAAACAAAGCCTAAGTAAACTGATAAACATTAAATCGGATGAATTCAAACATGGCAAAGAAATAAGCGAAATGTCTGTACAACCACTTGTATCTAAAGTTATAAGAAAAAGAAGATGGCTATATCGAGAAGCAGACAGATAATCAATATACTGACACTGGCTGACTGAGGTTCAACCCCACCAGGACCCCCTGGGGAGTGATAAAAACAAACCAGTGACATAAGTACCAACATTCGAGATGAGAATCACCCTGGCGCCAGTTCCAGAAACAGTTCAACCAATACAGAATTAGAAAACAAAATGGAATCAGGGAATAATGATATCTAGGAGAAACTCTAAAAAAACCAACGCTTTGTTCAACCCTTCGGCCAAACAGAAAAAAACAGGACACAAAAATGAATGGACTCAACCATGAGAAGACTAGGTTTTGCAACCAAACTGCTTCTCGCATAAGTATGGCGAGGACGTATTTTGAAAAGGAGTGGAACCATGTGCTAGAGGTGTCTAGAGGGACTAAATAGTATTAGGACTTATTCAGGCTTCATTCATCAGAAGATTTAGCCAAATTGTTCAATTCAGCAATGTTTGACTTTAGTAATTAAAAAAAAAACCTGCAAACATATGCATATTCGATACCTAATTTGAATAAATGTTAAGATGTCAGTGTGATTTATAAAGAGTGCAGTGGGTCTATTCATTTTATGTCTCCAAAAAACGGGGTCCTGGTTGTTAGAGGTAGCGGTGGGTCTCTTATTTATTTTCTTTTAAAAAAATGGTGTCCTAGTTATTAGAGAGAGCGGTAAGTCTACTCATTTTTGTCTCCCAAAAAAGGGTCCTGGTTGTTAGAGGGAGCGGTGGGTCTGTTGATTTTTTTGTCTCCAAAAATGGGGTCCTGGTTGTTAGAGGGAGCGGTAGGTCTATTCATTTTTTGTCTCCCAAAATGGGGCCCTAGTTTTTAGAGACAGCGGTGGGTCTATTCATTTTTTGTCTCCAAAAATGGGGTCCTGGTTGTTAGAGCGGTGGGTCTATTCATTTGTTCTCAAAAAATGGGGTCCTGGTTGTTAGAGCGGTGGGTCTATTCATTTGTTCTCCAAAAATGGGGTCCTGGTTGTTAGAGCGGTGGGTCTATTCATTTTTTGTCTCCAAAAATGGGGTCCTGGTTGTTAGAGCGGTGGGTCTATTCATTTGTTCTCCAAAAATGGGGTCCTGGTTGTTAAAGGGAGCGTTGGGTCTATTCATTTTTTGTCTCCAAAAATGGGGTCCTGCTTGTTAGAGGGGGCTGTGGGTTTAATCCTTTTTTTCTCCCAAAATGGGGCCCTGGTTGTTAAAGAGAGTGGTGGGTCTATTCATTTTTTCTTTTAAAAAATGGGGTCCTGGTTGTAAGAGGCCTATTAATTTTTCTTTTTAAAAAAAATGGGGTCCTGGTTGTTAGAGGGAGCAGTGGGTCTATTCATCCCCCCCCCCTCCCCAAACAGGGTCCTGGTTGTTAAAGGGAGCGGTGGGTCTATTCATTTGTTCTCCAAAAATGGGGTCCTGGTTTTTAGAGGGAGCGAGCAGTGAATCTATTTATTTTTTTATCAAAAACTGGGGTCCAGGAACCAACCTGGAGATCAAGAGAATCTAAAAGAGAAGAACACTAAAGGTACAGAAAATTAGGCCTCACCTCGGGGTGATTCTTCCGTTAAGGATTCCAGGAAGTCCTGTGGAGTCATGTACAAATTTCCATTAAACTCTACTGAGGCAAAGTGACGAAAACGCATTTCTCTGTAAGGCACTTCATTCTTTTTTACTTTCCCTTCAGAATCCTGAAATATATATACAGGTCGATACAAGAATTAGTGGGTGAGTGTGTGTATGTCTCTCTAATAATAATTACCTATATATAATAACCAGGGAGCCGCCGTGGTGTAGTAGCTAGATACTCAGCTGTGGATCTGAAGGTCGCCGGTTCAGGTCCTGACAGAGCCAGACTTTTTTTTTTTTAAACGACCCACACCCCACCCCGAACATAACAAAATGTGATTAAAATTACGACAACAAAAAGATAAATCCAAGGCACCATTAACGAGAACTTGCAGGGAAAGCCTCCACAGAAATCAAAGTGTCAAAGAAAAGAAACAATCAACAACAACTGATAATTTAGTGACCAAATATCAAAGTGATGGTTGACACAATTTTGGTTTGACATCAGCTATTCTTATATATATATATATATATATATATATATATATATATATATATATATATATATATATATATATATATATATATATATATATATATATATATATATATATATATATATATATATATATACTTTTTGTCTGATGCTGGACAAGGCACACAAGAGATCACTCCCCATAACAAGCTGGCAACTGTCTTTTAATATCAAGAGTGGTAAAGCTGAAAATCCAGATTCACAAAAGTCTGTGAAGGCAGATGGAAAAGAAACATTTATTTTATAGTATAATTTGACCAACAAATACACCGCAAGATACTGCACCCCTGGCCCCTGCCCCTAACAAAATCCAAGCCTAAAAATAGGAAATCACCACTAGCCCTTGAAATACACTTCAGTTAAATTGCTGTTTCTTGAACAGACCGTAGCAGCAAATCAATGTCAATAATGAAATAATTTCTAGTTAACTTCCAAGACCAGCCATGATGACACATCATTTTTTTTTTAAAAACAGACCACACTCCTTTACCAGAAGATCTAAATGTGACTGAATTTTAACTGCAAGTTCATCATTTTCACACTTTTTATTCTGCAACAGATCATTAAGACAAGGAAAAGATGAGATGTTCTTGGATTCAGTTCTTCGTTTCCAAAACTTGATTTTTTTTTTTTCACGAAAGTTCTGATGGTATCATAGGATAGAATAATATTGCAAGGTGCTCCTTGAAGTTTTAAGTTCAAGTTATTCTAAGCTTCAAAGAAAGATATGCCAATGAAGAGATAATTAAGTTTTCAGTAAATGCATGATACAGATAATCTTTTTTGTTTTGAGAAAGACTTCAATCTTAAACTTAACTCATACAATCAAGCAAGCAGATTTTCCTCTGATAACCAACGGACGTCAGTATGAAAATGTACAACATTATGTGTGACTTGAAAGTCATCACATGGATTTGAAGGTGGAAGCAGAAGAATAAAGAGCATGAAAGAGCCTTGTGTTCAATTGGCTTGATTTCATATCATTCACTACTTTTACAGCTATTTCCAGTGCAAATTGGACATGTGTGTAGGCTTGATAAATTTAGGTGAGGAGAGGAGTGGGTCAAAGTGTCCGATCATGTTTCAGACTTGTGTAGGGTTCTAATCACTTTGGGACGTGAGTGCAGGGACTGACCAGCTGGTGCTGCAGAATCAGAAGTTCAACAAATGATTCATGACAATTCTCGCCCAAGTGATGTGATTGTATATACAGATGGCTCTGTGGTGAGGGGCAGACGAAGTGCACGGAAAGGGGGTTCACAGCGAAGGCGAATGGACGTCGCTTAGTGCAACAAAGCCTGGCAAAAGTTATCACAACATTTAGTTTGAGAATGGAGTTGGAGGCAGTCACTGATGTTTGAGAATCAGCTGTACACACATGTCGAAATTGTAACTGACTCACAGAGGACGTTTAAACTGGTGGAGACAGGCATGCTTTATGTAGAGAGGCAAGCATCACTTCAGAGGTCCCGGGTAGTTAGCATAGTTTGAAATTTTCTACAATGCCGGTGTGTTGGGAAATGAGCAGGCAGATAAGACTGGCCGGTTCTGCACCACTTGGTGGTGAACTGATGTATGACAAGCTGGATATTGTGATGGCCCTTTGGGAATGAGTGAACAGTGCTGAGGAACAGACAGATCATTACGGTCTGAGGAGAATGGCACTGCGAGGAGTTACAAGGATATCTGGCTGACGCTCACACTCAGGGGAAAGGTGAGACAGATATACAATCAGACAGTTACCGGTACCATCGTAATTTTAAATCTTTGCTTGCTGCTGAAGATGGAGATGGAGCGCTCATAGGAGTGTCCTGAATGCTGTGATGTTGATTCTTAATTCAACATTCCAGTGCAGTATTCAGATCTGATGACAATCAGATCTTTCGGCTGCCAGGGCCTGTCTGTGTATTACACACTGAGTTCCAATGATGTCTGGATTTGTTTCTCTTAATAGTTTAAAAAACCCAGATGGAGGACCAATCATAGCTGGAGCACCATCTGTACAAACACCCACTACTTTTTCCATTATCATCCATTTTATTGGAAACAATTTCTTAGAATGATAAAAAACGCTTTTAATGTTTGTGTGTAAACATCTGGAGAAAAGAATCAGCAATGAGGCAAAAAGGATTGTATGGAGAGGTATTTTGGTCAGAATGTGTTTTTAATTTACACTTAAATGCATGTTACATTCATTTGATTTTTGATGAATTTTTGTTTTACTCATGAAAAACAAAAACATCTTTGGATTTTTAATTTCATAATTTATGTAAAAAATATTTTATTTAAAATTAAACTGAAAAAATCCGCTTGAGTCACATCGAGATCAGCCGAGCAGGAAATCCTCATTGTCCTTATAAGGACAAATCAGAATGCACAACCAGAGGAAGTATCAACCAATAGACCAAAGAAGTTATCAAGGCAGTACTCTTTCTATGAGCTGATAGCTGACAGCGCAGTAAAATCAGACAAGCAGCAACCGACGACCGCAGTGAGATGCCCAGGCAGAAACCCTCAGAGATGACAACCAACACAAATACGCAGGTAGCAGAGAGAGATGCTCCCTCATCTGATGGGGAAACCAGCCAGCAGCATCAGGTGTCGGAACACAGCAGCACAGCAAGACGACGTCGCTTTCCCAGCCACAATAAAACTGAAGCAGAACAGTGAAGGGCATGAAAACTGATAGCCCAGTCAGCCATGATGATCATCAACATGAATGACTAAAGACCTGTTGGGAATGCGGTGTGTCACACAGATCCGGAAGATGAAAGAAAGCGTGGCAAAAATGAGAAAACAAGCAGACCCCTCGGCAATATCCTACAAAATGAGAAGACACGAGATAACAGTGGAGGCAAGCATGTTCCAGCAGCTGAGCCAATGGGTAGTGAAGGAGGCAAACAAAGACATTAGCATTTACCAGTACAAACCGATAACTGGCGAAAGAGAATCCAGACCTGACGATCCAAAGTGCTGAGAGAGTCATGCGCAAAAACAACATTCCTACAACAGTGATAGTAGTCATCACAGAAGGAAACGGTGTTAAAAGCTCAGTGTCCTATGGGAAGAAAACCATGAAGATGGAACACTACGTACCAAAGCTACTGCAGAGCTCTTTTTGTCAAAAGGCCTTGCACACCAGAAGCAGCCGCCACAGTGAAGTGGAAATTTGCAGATACTGCTTTGGCACAAATCCCTGCAGTGAGTGCATCCTTGCAAAGAAAGACAAGGACTACAGAAAGCCCAACATTAACAGAAAGTGCGCAAAATGTTTCAGAAACCATGGAGTAATATATCTTAGCTGCCCGTATATACAAGATGCAGATCTACATAGTATATACCAAGGCTTGCCCTGATGCCTCTTCATTGATGCTGAAAGGCAGAACAGGACTGAGGAAGATATCAACAAGATTTCATACGACAGAATAAAATGGAGGATGAAACTGAGCTCTGAGTGACAGACAATGGCACAACATGATGATGATGATGAGCCCGGCTCTCTAGCGAAGTTGGTTAAACCGGACTTTCGCGGCGGCCGGGTAACAAACTCCTTGTGGTCCGGGTTCACTCCCGGGGGTAGGCAGAAAAGCCACATTTCTCCCAGATTAACGGTACCTATAATGGAATCAAGGCCGAAGGGTTGCGATATCCATAGTACCGAGCCAAAGGGTTTACAACTCATGGTTTCTGGATACGTGAAAAAAAAAAAAAAAAAAAGATGATGATGATGCAGAACTTAAATTAAAAATAAGTAATCATTCTTCTGCCGCTACTGTGATGTTGTTGCTTCTCTCTCTTCATTCCATTCCTCTCTGCATCTCTGATGAGTCCGAAGATTTACCGTGAGACTGTTATAAAAAATTTGTAATAAGGCTTCATCTCTTTTAGTTGTGCTTAAGTATCTGAGCTACATAAAATGACTGGTCTTATAAACATTTTATAAATTTTGATTTTGGTGTTGTGAGATAAAGACTGTGACTGACTTTAGCAGATGTTGAAGGGCATGGTATACTTTATTTCCAGACTATTCTGATTGTATTTCTTCTCTTAGCATGCTGGAGCAGTTAGAGTTTGCACACAAGTACTTATGTTTCCATTTGTTTGATTTTCACATTATCGACTTGTATGTGGCCGAAGTTTATATCCTGTCTCTGTCTTGTTATTATCACGTACTCCGTCTTATAACTGATATAGCTAGACCCATTTTGTGAAACGCTTCTTTTAAGTGATTGAGTGTTTCTTCAACGATATTTGTTATGTCATCGGCATAACCAAGTATTCTTGTAGTTTCTCCTACAGTACCCTCTTCTTTCGATTTCCTTATAATTTTTTCCACGGCCAAGTTAAAAAGAAGTAGGGTCCGTGCATCACCTTGCTGTAAAGCAAATGTTATTTGAAAAGCGTCTGACTCTCTGCCTTTGTTACTATTATTATAAGTATCTTCCATACATGGTCATGGTGATTAACTTCTTTTGTTAACTATACATGAATGTATAACTCAAATATTATTGAGAAAACGCTGAAACCTAATAATGTGTAGGTGAACCCAACTGCTGTATATTTTTTGTATAACCCATCGCTGTGGTATTACTAGTATTTGCGGTACTAGTACTGTAACACTGTAAGTTAAAGTACACTGTATGTATCATTGTATAGGGGTAACTACAGTAAAATTGTAATGGGAGGTAAGTACTTAACAAGCTCTAGCTTATAAACTGGTAGTGGGATGATATATGCTTAAGCAGTATTTCAGTATTTCAAGTATTAGTTATACGCTCATTAACAATCAACAAGTTAGCAATAGCAGACAATGTCAAATGTTTTGATTTCCTTAAAGTAAGTTAATCGGCCCCTACCTCATTCTTAGCAGCGATAACACTTAGTACCGGCTTATATCTCCCAGAAATCAAAGAACTCAATGCCACAATCGTCCCACATCCTGCAGTTCCAAGCAGAAACAGCTTTGCGTAATTTTTAGGTACAAGAAACCGCCGCCTCTCTATAAGAGACAAGTTGTGTAACAACCTCCTCAAAATTCTCACAGCCGCCATTTTGGCATGTCAAGCCAATACGCATGCGCGCCTGGCGGTGTTCCACTACTTTAGTTGCCCCGTGACGGGCAGCGGAACAGTTGAGGCGATCTCTCCTCAGGGTTGCCTTAGCAGATGGATTCTTATTCACTAATTCAAACTTGTATCAAGATTCTTGGGTTTTGCCGTATCGGATCAGAAAAGAGTGTATTATATATTCTATATATAACTTTGAACATATAAAATACTTAGCTTGTAAATAAATAGTGGTGTCTTTAAAACTGTAATTTGACTTTCTTCACCCCATTCATTGATAGGCTACTAATAGGAAATCTACCTAAGTAGCAGATAGACTAGGATTTCTAAGGCGATGGATGATTACGTTCGTTCGGTGATTTGTGACAACGGTACATATGTGTTACCTTACGTCTGGAGGATCCTGCTGTGTGTTCAGTTCTGAAATTAATCGAAGTCAGTACTGTAAGTAGTGTGTTGTACAGCTTCAACGTGTTTACTTATCTTCTTTAGTATCACTCTCATTGGCGTACCACGGTCATAGTTGTGTAAGCAAAGTTTTATAGATATTGGCAGGGGAGAGCTAGCAGCTTATGCATGGTAGCTACACGTCTTATACTTTAAACTGCTGACTCAGCATAATAAAGTAAATGAGGTCCAATAAGGGGATTTTATTTAGTGTCTATAAAAAAAAAGGTTAAGTACTCAGCAACAAGAATATAAAAAGTGTCTGTACTCTCTGTAAAGTAGCTATTGTAATAGTGCCACCATCCACCCCCCCTCCCCCCCCCCCCCACAAATATCCCTAAAAAATAAGTGCCAATACTGCACAAAGTTGCGTACCGCCACAAAGAACATCCAATAGTAGATCCAACGGCTGGGATGTGAAGAGATGAGTATTCGAATATTTTATATCATGATAGATGGTCAGGTGGCCAGTTCCCTTTTCGTCACACTTCCTTTCCAGACATTTTCCAAGACATATTTTATTAGGCTAGATCGACCGCCAAAGTCGTACCAGTCGGGGGAAAGGCTACTTATGGTGATTCAAACACATACCACTGTCTGCAACGGCCAGTGGATTCTATTTGTTGACAGAAAAAATAGTTGTGTATCCTTTATGCAGTAATATTCAATTAAGTTTACTCAGGAGCCAAATTTTTGAAAATAGGAATCGTCACGGACCAGATGTCTGATCTTTGGCATAGAAAGATCGTTAATACGAAAAAAACTGGCAATGATCCATGGGCCACTTGTTAGGCGCTAGTTCAAGAACCCTGCAGTGTCCCTGCAGCATTTTTCTTCCAACGATGGCTCTGCACAACTTGGTGGAATACTGATACATGATAAGGCAGACGTGGTTAGTGCCTTGTGGGAGAGCGTGTACAGTTCGAAGGAGGAGATGGATCACCCCAGTCTGGTGAGATTGGTGCAGCGGGGAGTGACGAGAGGTTCTGGCAGATGCTCGAGGCTCAGAGGAAAGGCAAGACGGACGTTTAATCAGAATGCTACTGGCACCATTAGTATCGGAACTCTTCGCTGGCTGCTGAAGATGGAGACGGAGCGCTTATGGGAATGCCCCTTGTGCTGTGATGTCGGTTCTTGAATCAAATCAAATCAATCTTCCAACGGTGGGCCACGGAAAAGTAGGGAGGCCGCAAAAAAAAAAAAAAAAATGTCTGTCTAATCAAGTAACCGGGGAGGGTCGGTAGTTTGTGCTTCAATGAACATCAAGGGGTAGTCGAAGAGGAGGAGGGCAAAGAAGAATCTGGAATGACAACATCAAGAAATGGACAGGACTGAATTATCACGAACTTACTCATCACGCGGGAGACAGAGAAAGGTGGCAGGTTTTATGTGCTAGTGCTTCCATCAATACACCACGACCCTATGGGGTCAAGGGTTATTTTATGTTATGTTAGGTAGTTTTCCTTTCCCAAGACTGCACTATCTATGATTAGCAACTAAATTACGAGAATCATACAGGTACAAATCCCAGAAACCCTGCTAAACCGCGTAAAACAGGTACATTATTAGGCCACCCAATGGTCACTTAACCCGGCGGTTTCGTTTCTGAAAATCATAGCCATGTTTCCCCGTTGTAAATTTGAACAAAGAAGACACAAACAACAGACTGTACAATTTATGTCTTAGCATATTTCGCTGCGTCTCGTCAGGTGCATGATATAGTAACAATTACATGCATGAAGGAAACAAGTGAATCCTTTATAACTGTAGTACAAACAGCAGAAGTTACCTGCGTCCTGAACTCAGTAAAAAAAGACATGAAAAGACTTAGTAAAATAGCTGTGTTTGATTACTGTTGAATTTGTACTTCAGTTATAAAGTATTCACTTTATTTGCTTCATTTATGTAAATATTACTCTAGTATGCATCTGACGACAAACTGCGAAATATGCCAGACAATCAATTGTTCAATCTGTTGTCTGTGTCTTCTTTGTCCAAAGTTACGTTACTGTCTTTGGTTAGCTGTCAGGTGGGTCGTAAGACAGTTTCCATTATTTTCGTGGGTCGCGGGTGTAAAAAGGTCGAAAAACACTGCTTAAATGGACGTTGCAGAACTAAAGCCAAGATTGTTTGTGTTTTTATTCGACAAGGTTGCATTTAGCAGTTTGCCACTACTCAACCGTCGAATCTTGATACCACGGTCGAAACCAGCGATCTACTGCCAAATCACCCACAGAGAAAGTAAGGAGAGGATGCTAAACAATTAGCATCGATTAGTGGCATAAACATAAATATAGGCTTCTTCTTCTTCTCCTCCTCTCCTTATTCTTTTTCTTTGGCTTCATCTAACGCAGATATTGGCAGTAATAAACCCTACACTCCTTTCTCCTCTACACCGGCTGAGTCGTCGCCTGATTATACTAGGGACCGCACCATCTGTCGTATGAAAAGACGGATGCGTGGGTTCATTTCGCGGCGGTACCTTTCGGTTCACTAGTGCAATTTTTATAGAGACCCTTTGGGGATAGTCACCGAAGCTACGTAAGTCGTGCATTGGGTGACGCTCTCGTCAGGCGGCTAGCCCGTCTTGGGAGAGAGACCCAGTCATATGGCATAAAATCTAGTGCAATGAAGTTGTTCTTCTCGACTCTAACATTTGACCCACACCGGGAAAACATTTATTCATTGATTGTCCTGTTAGGCAGTTATATTTCACAAAGTCTGGCGGTCTAAGCCTTCATTCCGCTCTGCTCTCTACAATCACTTCGATATTATGGACGGAATCTAATCCAGCGCCTTTGTCTTCTCTCATCAACTTTCGCCTTAGGGTTTCTCTTGGACGTCCATGTTTCCTCAATCCCTCTATTTCCTATGCCGCCACATCTGTTTCCTTTGAGTGTATATGTGTGTATACACGCATTCCCACGTGGGCGTGCATGCGCATTTGTGTGTATATATATATATATATATATATATATATATATATATATATATATATATATATATACGTTTGTGTGTGTGTGTTTACAGACAGTATATTTGCAATCACGTGTGGGCGTACACACGTGTATGTTATGTGTACATATGTAACTGTAAATGTATGTCTATACATGTATGTCAATGTGTATAGCACACCAGACACCTACCCAGCAACCCTCGCCAGGTACTAGAGAATAGGGCCAAGCCACTAGTTTACGTACAGTTAAAATTTCTTAGCCAAAATAATTCACATAAAGAAACCAGACCACAATTATAACCGATACTGCAGGCAGTAGGTTGAACGTGGTCGATTTTTTTTTTCTCATAAAGGGGTGGATAGCTGTGATTGTTGGTGATTCTCTCTTGCTCTCTTCTCAGTAAGTGTCCAGTGTAGGCCATCTTCTTTGCCTTTTAACTTTTGATAATGGTAGCCATAATTTTTTTTAATAGTCTAATCCTCTTGAATTCACAGTTTATGCTAATAATTTTCTTCTCGCATTTGTTATGGGGAAAACATGCAGTGGTGAAAATCACGTCACTTAAGAGACTACACGAACATAATATCAAAAGGGGTGAAGCCAGACAAGAGCGCTACACAGAGATCCACAGAAAAATAGTAAACCAACAGAAAACTGTCATAAGCCACTACACGCCGAGGGAGATACTGAAGAGGGGATCTGAGCACTTATGGTCTGAATGGCTCAATGAGCGATGATGATAATCTGTCGACTAACCAACTAACGTTCTGAAATGGATCTTCTACATGACGATGATGCGTGCATAATTCTGGAAACATTTTTGATTTAGATTTTGGCTTTGAATTAGTTTTTCGTTACAATCTGGCCACTCCTACCCGGTCAAACGCAAATATGTACTTCCGAAACTGTTTGTGGCTAATACTTGTTGTTTTGTTTTGCAATTCGTGTAGGCTATAGAAGCATAATGTATGATGATATACATACTATTTTAAAAGCACACCATAGACAACAAAACAGCGCACTTGCCAGACTCGCATTTCAGGCGTTATTTTTACAGGGCACAAAGATGAATCAAATGCAAGAGGAACTTTCGTAGCTCTAAGAAATGTGTGGAGGGCAAAAGAAATAAAAACGTAACTCACCATTCTTGATTTTAGTGCCAAATCCGTACTGTTGTAT